TTTCAACTTTTCATATCTAAATATTTTAATTCACACAAACACAGCAAACAATTTCTTGTTTCATTCACTAAAACATTTTTTTCTCCGTTTTTACTTTTTGTTAGATACGTCTTTTCAACTATCAGGGGCAGCACTGTCCATACACAGTTTTTAGCACTTGTCGGTCGTTTTATACCTAACTTTTCGACATGAACGAACTTGCAACGAACGAAAAAAGTTTGATCCGCGAACTATAACACTTTGACCCCTTGTTTTATACTAAACACACGTTGGAGCGCCAGGATGTAGTCGGGGTGGGTCGGTGACAGTGAAAAGTCCTGTTACGCGGCATAAACTTTAATAAAACTATATAAAAATTACAAGAGACACGCACAAAACTGTAAAGTCCGCCATAACTCTACTAAAACTGTGTCGGCCAATCAGCGGCCAGTAACATAACGCCACTTGGCGCGTATTTTAAAATACTATCGCGCTGGCGAATAGCGGTCGGGCGGCTTGCCCCTATTGGACCGCTTACGACCAGGGCTAAGGAGACGTTCGGAAACGTTATCCGCTATAGAGAATATATTATTTATTATGTTTTCGGCTTACTCACGTAAAAATTTGACGAGATACTCGACTAGTTTCAAGCCATGCTAGATGTTCATATTCATCAGCAGCATTCCGCAACACGCGACGCGGATAATTAATTTAGTAGGTACCTATGTCTCACGAAAGTTATAATATAAAAGTGGGAAAGATGTACAAGTCTACAGGAAGAGAGTTATCGGGACAGATAAATTGTTCATCACTTCCTCGTCATTCCAAGTTGTAGGAACGCCTCCGACAACCACAACACCCAAATCTCTCAGAATCGGTCAAAACGGAACCTTCCGTAAGAAAGCGTCACAAAACTAGAAGCAAGTGTGGGAGAGCCATGCTTCGGCACGAATGGGTCGGCTCGACCGGAGTGATACCACGGCCTCACAGAAAACCGGCGTGAAATAACCACTGCGTTGTATTTCGCCGTGTGAGTGAGGTTACCGGAGGCCCAATCCTTCCACTTCCCCAATCCCTCCTCAATCCCTAAATCTCCAAATCCCTAATCCCTAAAAGGTCGGCAACGCACTCGTAACTCCTCCGTTGCGAGTGTCCGTGGGCGGCGCTGATTGCTTACCATCAGGTAATCCGTCTGCTCGTTTGCCGACCGAGCTATTACATAAAAAAAAAAAAGCAGGAGGAACGGAGCCTCTTCACGGATCCTCAGGATCGTCCATAGTCAGAGAACAAGAAGAGTGTAAAATTACCAGAATCATCCAAAATATAGGTATATAATATACAAATTATGAAAATAAACTAGCTACAATAAATATTATACACACTCAATCCACTACCTACTTTTCTGATTCTTTAAACAAAAATTTTTTTGACAAAAAAATACACTCGCCAAATCCGCATTTTCCCGCACTTTTTTCGGCCGTCGTTATTTATTCGATAAATAGGTAAGTACCTATAAAACAAGCAAGAAGGTATATAAATAAAACAATAATCTCTAAAATAACGATAAAAATACTTTATTTTATTTGTCGAGAATACAATTTATTAGTGTTTTTTTTCAAGTTAGGTACCGGTTTTTCAACTTGTCCCATAAATTCTGGCAACACTACTTTAACATTCGAATTTTGAAATCGTTAACGCTTCTCAGTCGTGTTTGTGACGGATTAAAGTTTTCTTTGTGAGTTTCTAGAAAACTGGGCGAAGTAATTGTTTTGTAAACAGCGTTGTTTTATTTCCAAGTTCAGTAATACCCTGAAAAGTATTGAGTTTCTATCAAAACAGCCAATTATTTGCGTAACCAGTACGTTTGAAATACCGTGACTATCATCATGTCTGCAAGAGAAATTTATTACTCTGAGAAATATTACGACGAAGAACACGAATACAGGTAACTAGTTAATTTACTTCAGTTTCAGAGTAAAACTATAATTCAAATAAATGTTACAGACATTATAACCTATTTAACATTCAAATTTTATGGGTCCAATGGAGCAGTTCAATGTCCTTCAAGTCCTTTGGGGTTCCTAATCATAATTTCATTGTAATATCTCATCTTGTATACAATTCAAATCTTTGGTCAAAATAGCAAAGATTCTCCATCTCCATCTTTACTCAGATACAGTTTGATCTTCAGCTTTAGGTACACCAATGGTTTTCTAGTAAGTTCTTTTTGAAAAACCATTTAACAAACTTCCTTATTTGTGATTCCATAATTTCTAGAAAATGCAGGCTAGTTCTATGCTCTGTATTCTGAGTAATTCTATGTATTTGCTTATTATCATTTCAACTTGTTCAACCGCCCCTAAGACGACCCACTGACCAACTTTTGAAAGGAAATAATGTTTAATATAATTTTGGAGTGTTTGAGGAAGATGATATGGAACAGAAATAAGTTATATATTAATGTGACATCAAACAACAATTCCCATAAGACATGGTTATTTCGTAAACTCCTTGGTTTAAATGAAAAACGTAGGTGTATTGTGACACCTAGTAGGTGAATAGAGCAGGAATATGCTTTTAATCTGTATTCTACTTAATTAATTAAAACCCCAAGCAAATACTGGTGTTTGCGCACCTGTTGTTTTATGTGTCTCATATTACCATGATTGAAATTTTAAGCTAAAATTTAAACTGTATGAAGACTCAATCTTTTCAATATTATTGCCTTTTCCAGACATGTAGTTCTTCCTAAGGAAATGGTGAAGCTTGTTCCCAAGAACCACTTGATGTCCGAGCAGGAGTGGCGCGGTATTGGTGTACAACAGAGCCAAGGGTGGGTGCACTACATGACACATCAACCTGGTGAGTAGCATTTATTGACTTCAACAATTGTTGTTTCTGCATTTAAAAAAACTACATCCCATTTTACAATGATGGAACTTCATAAATTCTCTCATCATTGTTCCTTTCGTAATAGGAACTTAAAAATATTGCTATGTCATATGCCATCATTGATAGTATCATCAGCAGAGCAAAGTAGATGAGCAGATTAATGTGATACAATTTTATTAAACCAATATCAAAAATGAAACATTGTTATTAGGTTTTTGCTATTTTTATGGCCTCTTATAACAAGGGCAAATTCTCTCTTGTCTCTCTCTAGCTCTGTCCATGGTTTTCTCCATTGATATGTGTTAGTCCAGGGTATCATCTATCTACATACCAAATTTCTACCTAATCTGTTCAGGAGTTTTGAGTGAAAGAATATAAAACATACATCCATCCCACATTCCACATTTTACAACTTTCACATTCATAATATTTTTAATTTATAAAATTAATAATCAATATTATTTTTATTTGCAGAGCCCCACATCCTGCTATTTAGGCGAAAGAAAGAAAAAAAATGAAGTGTATTGGAAGCTAGGTGGCGCAAGGTGTAAATGTATAGTTTTTACTGATATTAGAATTAATACTAGCTTTAATTGATAATGCCCATTCAACCTTAATGAATCTCTTACTTTTCATACAAATATTAAAGACAAAAGATTAATAATTAATATGAAATGATAAAAGTTTGATACATTACTGATTCTTATATGTTTAATTTTTAATTAATCTTATTTTGCTAAAAGTTGTAAATGATTTGTCCTTAATTATATTTTATGTTAATTATTGCTAAATATATAATCAGCATCATTTAAACCAGATCATGATAGTAACATATTTCATTTCTTTTATCATTTCATAGTTCACAAATACTTTCTTCTTGCTGTGAAAGTAATAACAGTAATAATGTTTTAACTTGTCTGCAACTTAATAAGCGTAGTATAGTATACCTACTATCAATATTTTATGGGCTTCTCTGATCTTCATTCCATAATTATTAAGTTTACCAAAAGAAGCATGGATCTAGATCACTAAAGAGCCTCAAACTCACTTTTAACAGTACAATATTTACAATTTATGTTCTGGATCAATGCTTGCTTTTATTTCTTTTAGTAGTCATTATTTTTTTAAGTAAAACATCTTTTTGCGCCATGACAATTTTGGTAGATGTAGTTGTGTGCTGCATCTAATTTAATATAATTTGCTAATAGGCATTCATACTTATTTTGTCTAATCATTTTCTAATATTTCTTTTAGGGTGTAAATAAAACAACAAATTTGTATTTTGCAACTTAACATAATCAGTAAACCTAAAAAAGTTTGGAATTCATAATATATTTTTAAGAATTTTCACATAGTGCCTTAGTGATTAGAATTAATGAGAATATTGTGATAATGTTTTGACTTAATGTAAAATATAGCAATGAAATCTGGTTGGAAGTGACCTGTTTAATTTTTGACTACCAAGTAATTGTTGTGTATAATCATAGACAATCATATTGCATGTTGTACATACAGTGGTGTAATTATCCGTGTTTTGGCAGCACATTTGTTATCTAACACAGTAATTGGAATAAATTATTTGGTGCTATGTTTTAAAGGATGTTTTATTATCAACTTTATTCATGCAAGCTAGCTAGCCACCCCAACTTCTATAAGTTCCAGTTACAATATTTCAAAAAAGGTAATTAAAAAGTGGAGCATTAACATCTTGTCTATTGTTACTTTAGTATTGAACTGAAATAACTACTTTAAGTAACAATAAAGAGCTGCTTCTGTTCTTCCAATCTACACTGCAGATGCCTGGACAAGAAGTTGAAAAATTCTAATTTTCAAATACATATTGTTTCAACTTGCCCAGTTGCTTGCAAAACAGGGTGAATAGAATTCAAGAGGTAAATAAATACAGAAGAGGGGTGAATAGATACTAGGAAAATTTGCCAACATCTATCCCCCCTTTCGTGTATCTATTCACCCCGTTTTACGGGACTTAGCTTAATAGGGTGTAAAGTGAAATAAAAAGTGTTCAGTAATCAAACTGAAGCTTTATGTGTGTGATAGTGAATGTTGCTGAAAGCTTTAAACCTAAAGCAATTTAAAAAGCTTATTAAAAAAAAGTAAATAAATCAATGTAATGTTACAAAGATATTTATTTTTTACTTTAAAAATATAGCTTACACAATATTATTATTACTTACAACATTCTAGATAAAAGATATTATAGGTAAAGTTTATTTTCTTTTCTTTTTCGCACTGGGTGATAATGTAGGAAGTTTTGCTGTGGTTTCTGGTTGTGAAAATTCCATGGAGTCCATTTTGGTGATATCATCTGATGTTACTGCATCTAGCAGCTCCAAGCCTTCTTGTTCTAGACTGTGCAGCATTTGAAACCCTGGCTCTAATGATGGAGTGAATGCACCATCCAGTGCAGCAGGGAAGTGTAACTCTGGTACTTCTTCTAGCTTCAACTGTGGTGCGATGTCCCTTATAGCCAGAGCTTCACACTGAATTCTCAACTCTTCACATTTCTTTTTAGTCATTGCATGATACCTCACAACTCTGTTCTGATAAAATTCATGAAGGTTACCAACATTGAGGTCAGAAAACACCTTTGAGATTGCATCCGGGAAGCCTGATTTTAGGCCACTTGCTTCTCTGTCCACAACAGTCCTGAGCAGCTTGCACATGTTGGTCATGTGGAGATCCAGGGCATCTGCCACGGCAGTCAGTACGACATTAGTAGTAGTCGCAACGCCAACGTGACCAAGAGCTATTGCCGCGCACTGCCGCAGTGCTCTCTTGTGACTTTCTGGAGTAAAAGGCAATATCATGGGACCTTTGCCTAGTGAGAAATCACAATACTCTTTTTCAAGGAAGTTAATCGGCGGGTTCGTGTCATGTTCTAGTTTTATTTCTGGTTCTGGTGGTTCTATGGGTAAGCTTATTGGACCAATCCGTGCACCCTCAAACAAGGCATTTTCAGCTTGTTCGAGTATATTTGACAGCTGCCTCGCGTGAGCATGTAGCTGTATTGTATGAGTGATTAGATTAGGCTTTGGAAGTTCGATAGGGGAAGATTTCACAGTGATAGATATTTCAGGAATATTTTGCATACCCAGTTCTATTATTGGATTAAAGTTGACATTCTGAAGTAACGTCTCATCTGTTCTCTCGTCTTCCATCTCACCCCACAGTTTTCTTGTGTTCATTGTGGTGCAGTTTTAAAGAAGTTGATAAAAAAATACTTTACAAAATAACCCCACAGATAGGAACCGTATTCAATCAAAACAATAATACATAATACCAATATTATCTGTCAAATTGAAGTTGAAGGGTAATACCATAGACTATTAACATACAAGAAGCATAGAGGTGTACTGTTCTATACATCACAATACAATAAAACTAAAAAGTATAAGAAATATTATTATTGGTTGTATTATCTCTATTAATGGTTAAGAAGTCGGTTGTTTGGGTCTTACGATATTAGATCAGGAGTCCCTAATAAAAAATCATTAAGACTTCCTCCTGTAGCATGTGCTTACTGGCCACGGCAGCTTTAAGTTCCTGTGTCGGAGCGGCGGGAGTAAACGCACGAGTGTTGTTATTGTGAGGACCACCCAGAGGACACGGTGGAGCTTTCGGTGGCAGTGTGCCCTGCTTAGGCATTTTTACACTTACATTTAGCATCTCCGTGTCATTAGGGATGTGTTTGGCGGCGGCGACCTCTCACGCCACGCCGGCCTTAGTCGAGGCCATGGTGCGGAGCTATAGGGACTGGGAAACTCTCACCTCTTTCTGTGAAGCAGTTATGGTCGCAAAGAAGGAACCGGACCGTGTGGGGAGCTATCCTCCTCCTCAAACCTCCGCCACCACAGTAGACGTCCGACACTGCGGACGTACGGCGCGTCAAAACAAGAAGGAGCAGGGAAGTTTTTTAGTCAGTAAGAGTGTGACATTTTGAGCCGGCTCTACCTGGGCGGGATAAGCATTTATTGCTTATTGCACTGTTGCGATGATATATTTTTATTAAAGTAATTTTAAAATTAGTTTTAATTGATAAATCATCAAATTCAAGGGATGTTCTGGACTATCATATAGACAGTTCTGTTATTATTGTGCTGAATTAAAAAAATATTAGTAGCTTGTACAAATGTAATAATTATTGTAGGTATGCCCTGCGGGTGGGACATAGTTGATCAAAATTTGCAAACATTAAAGTACCTACTGTACTATACATATCATAATTATGAATAAGTTATGAATATGATCCACTATGTAGTTTTTATTGATTGACATCGTGATAAAACCACCATGTTGTATGTACCTAATATGTATACCTACTCTTAACAAAATATGAAACTGAATCTAAAGATCGGAGTTTCTTTCCGCCGGGGTTGCAGGCCAAGCGCAATAATTTTTCGCAATCATGGCCCCGAAAGAATTCATTCCGAGTTGGCATATAGTCAGTTAGCCTGACACTCCCTCTCACCTTAACTGGGGCGAGAAAAGTTGATGACAATTAGGTACACCCTTACAGAAAAAGTTAGTTTACAATGAAATATCCATGTGTTATTAAAATTAAGTAACCAAACTGTAGATTTTTTTTTTATATTGAAATTAGATTGAACGTTCGAAATAATTTATGTTTTACTAATTCATAATCTAAGTTTATTATAGCGAGTCTGGTAAGGGTGTAATGTGTATGGGAATTAGCACAGTTGTTCTACGAAACAGTCATGCAGTAGGTCACTAACTTATGGACCTTATGGTGGTCGATTTATTGTCGCACCCTCGAACCCACAAGCAGGTCCTTAATTGGGTTGAACAAATTTCCAACTCCACCTCTGCTAACTTCGTAAATCAAAGTTGGAACCTCTTTTGTCCAATTTGACGAAAGATAAAGGCTTTTTTTTAAATAGAATTCGAGTCAAATATTTTTATTCAAGGTAGAATGTATAATGCCACTTAATTAGCTTCCTACTGTTATTCTATATCCTAGTTTCACCTGGATTATGGAGGTAACATCAATATTATATTGTATTGTTTTTTAATAAAATGAGCCAAGAACACACGCTGAGTCATTTAAATATATTTTTGTATATGTTTATATGGGCCTTCAATAACCTGAAATAAATGGATAAATCAAATAAAATAAATAGAAAATTAAAATTGTCTGGACTGCAAAAGAGTTCGACACCTCCGAGTTAGTTTGAGCCTTTCTACCAATGTTCTATAACTTTTTATTTTCAATCACTAAAAACGTTTTATGAACATTTGAAATTAAACTGTCAGTTTTTAGCTAAGTTGTCGTTATAATGTGTTAATTTTTCATATACCTAGTGTGAAAGTAGTACCACAACATATGGGACAGAACTAGGTAAATTAATGGTCGACAAAAATTCGCCGTTTCAGGAAACAAACGAATAGTTTGATGAATTAGATCCGACATTGAATATAAGTAATTAAAATAAGTCGGATGTATTCATTATTGCGGTTAAGGTCGCATAATTAGTGCTAATTATTTTTAATAGACAAGCGACTGTGTTAGATGCGCTGGCATTTAGAACGAGGCTGTTATATAATAGTATAGCATCGTGTTTGTTAGCAAGGGATCAGCATGGGGTACTGCTGATATGTAGGTATAATTAAGTACATTTTTTTGTCTGGGGAAAATCATCGAATGACTTCAAGTAGAAAGTCAGACTCTTACTGACTAAAAACCCCCCTGTTCCTTCTCCAGCTCCGGCCGAGGTCGCGGTGCCTCATTGCGCTTACCCCGCAACACCGGCTGAACATCAGCCCTATAGGGCCCCGTCTGTGGTGGTCTATTGGCTCTTTGAGGCGAGCGCGGAACGCTACGCGCCGTACGCTCGGATCTGGTTGTGGTCGGGCGGCGAGTTGCCCTTACTCGACGTCCGCAGACCCGCGCTTTCGGTGGCCGGAGATCGTCCCTTGAACCCCAACGCCCGTAGTATAATTAGGTACTTGACAACTAATTTGACATTCGTTGCTTTCTGGTCTGCATAAACGCAAATCTTATTTTACTAATATTATAAATGCGAAAGTTATGATGTTTGTTACTCAATCGGCTGAACAGATCTGGATGAAATTTGGCACAGGCATAGGATACACGGAATAGCGTACATAGCGTACTTTTTATTAACATACCGCGCGGGCGAAGCCGCGGGCGGAAGCTTAGGTCATAAGAGAAATTCCAAGTGTCGGGTAAACATGTTTCTGATGTTGTTTTGTTATCTACCAGCGGAGCCTTCTAACACCTACTTACAATAATGAAGACATAAAAGGAAGCTCTGCGAAATCGGTTAAGCTAAGTGTGGAAGAGCCAAGCTTCGGCATGAATGGGTCGGCTCGACCGGAGTGATACCACGGCTTCATAGAAAACCGGCGTGAAACAACTACGTCGTTGTGTTTCGCCATGTGATTGAGGTTACCGGAGGTCGGAGGTCGACACTTCGGTCGAGCCGACCCATTCGTGCCGAATCATGGCTGTCCCACACATACTAATACACAGATTTTCCTTTTCGAATAAGTAATTGTTATAACATTATCACGATTCTTGTACCTATATTATTTATAATATACACGATATATGAAGTAGTATCTCGACTCGTATTCATACTTATAAAAACGTAGGTACGTATTGATCTCGATTTTATTGTATTATAATTATTCATTTGCTATTTAATTTTCTAACTATTCTGTCTTAACAAATGCAAGTACCATATTGGTATCAACGTAAATAAAAATATCAAATCACGGATAAATTAACAAAAAGGGCCACATCACCCTTATTATTTCTGTAATTTACTCTCGGCTACGACCCTACAGTAGCAGCGTAGTATATTCGTAGCATCCGCCTACGCCTACGCCAGCATACCTTCCTACGTCACTGAGAACTCGTAGCGCTCTCGTAGGCGTAACGATTTTAAACTGATGAGCTTGGTATTATTTCGTTAGCTTGTTTTGGTTTTGAATAAAATATTCGAAATATTTTTGATGTGTATATATTTATATTAAGTATTAGATATTTATTTTCATTATCAATTTATCTTCGAAAACGTTGCCTCAAGATATGGTTTACGTGGATGTTTACTGTAGGTGTGTTTATAACGTTAAAAACCATTATTTCGTTCGCTCATAATATCCACACTCAAAAAATAAGTTGTGAATCATGTATTAAGAAAGGTTCCATGCGGGAATTGAATCCAGCCACGCTTCGTTGCGAAGAAGTTGGTCGCCGGCTACTATGCTGTCTGTGATACTTACTTTCACTTGTTTAAACTTTTATTTATAAATGTTATTGAATGTTTTTAAGTAGTAAATATGGTCAAAAATGTGTAAGCTGAGTTGCAAGTGCGTGAAACTATCTCCGGCCACCGTAAGCGCGGGTCTGCGGACGGCTTGCTTGCGGGTTGCTCGCCGCTCGACCAGATCCAGACCCGTACGGCGTGTAGCGTTCCGCGCGTGCTTCAAAGAGCCCATAGACCACCACAGACGGGGCCTTATAAAGCTGATATTCAGCCGGGGTTGCGGGGTAAGCGCAATGAGTCACCGCGGCCTCGGCCTAGAGCAGGAGAAGGAACTTGGCGGTTTTAGTCAGTAAGAGTCTGACACTATTTCTCGCCTTCCCTGGGCGGGACAATTAATCTGAAGATTTTCCCCTGACAAAAAAAATAGTTGCAAGTGCAAATATAACATCCGCGTTTTTCTGAAGAAGACCATAGGTATTTAACAAGAATTACTCTTGGTCTGTCCCTTCTGATCGTTAATTCCGTAATTGGACAAAACAATATATTTTGTTTTTGTATATTTCAAAACCAGTTTAACCTTGTTATTAGGTATGTTCATCTTACCCTACCTATTGTAAAAAAGTCCATATAACATAATTCACGAGGTTACAAAAGTATCACATTTTATTTCGACCATACGTCACAGTAATCTATACTTTTACACTAACATTATAAAAAGGTAAAATTTATAAGTTTGTGTGTAGGGGGTGACTTTTGGAACCGCTGGTGGAATTGCCAAAATTCTTTCACTGATAGATAGCTACAATGTTCCTGAGTGTATAGGCTATAAAACATCACGCTAGGATTAAATAGAGTCGAGCAGCGGGTGAAACCTAGTAGTAGCTAGTTTCCAAATAAAGAACAACCAATGGCTTTTGCAATAAAATTTTTAAAACTCATACTTTTAAATGTGTGTTTAGTATCCTGTATTTCTGATACATTGCCAAATACTCGTATGTATTTTTTCAACGAAATAAATCCAATATTGTATAAATTTTTGCCAGGCTGAATATTTATATAGCTTTTAACAAGTTAAGAACTGGACCAAAATTGTCATAAAATATGTAAAAGTTATAAAATGATCTCTAACAATGTATTCATGTATAATTAATTGGCATTTCATTCATTATTAGTTAAACTGATTACATTCCAAAATCCCTCTTAAACATTAGGAAAGGAACAAAAGCATCAAAACATACAAGATATCGAAACATTACGATGGAAATAAATATTGAATATTTGAACAGCAATTCGCAGATGATACGGGTCGTAGGACGAGCGATTGTTCCGATACTGAGATAGGGCGGCTTTTCAGGACATGGAAGTACAGATCAATCGTCACGGCCCCCCCACTCCCACCGCTGGACTCGAGGATACCCAGACTGTTTGTCGTGCCAGTGAGGTCCCGACCGCCGACCGCGACGCATGTCCCGCTCCCAACGCCGACCGCTCGAAAACGACAGTGATGCGGTGTACAATCAAAACTAACTAGTGATTTGTGATAATTCAACTGTATTCAGCTGTTTTTATTGTGAACGGTAAGTAAATATTCAACTGAAATAAATATTTAATACAATATTACAGTATTCATTAAAATAATCGGAAAATACGCATTTATGAAAATGGAAACTGCGTTTTATTAATTAAATTGAATTACGAATTTGATGTAAAATTTATTTTGATAAGCAAAAATAATGAAAATTTTATTTGTTGTACAAATCCAGCATTTGAATGAAATAAAAGGAAAGTTAAGAGAACAAGATACTTACTTCGGAAAATCGGGATAAATTTTAAGTAAGAATATGTTAATATATTAATATACTTACTAGCTATAAATATAAAATTCTGGTTTATTTTACTAATTGTATGTAAGATAGTATTGTGATAGCTTTTCCCGAAAAGTGCTATCAATTATCCTGTTTTCGTTGGCTCAAGTTGCGCGGGAAAAATGACAACTGCTGCGAAGAAGCCATTGTTTATGCTTTGCCTCCATTAACATTTGTTTATACTATTTAGTAACTTATTATAATTGCAATAAAAATAAATGATATACCTATATAGAAATGGTATAATTATATCAAATAATTTGGTGTATAAAAAACATGATATCATCATAAAATGCACTATGACAAACGAAATAGTATTTCGTTATTTATTTATAAAAAATACTTAAGAAAAAAGTCACCAAATATTTTTAATGGTTTCAAATACAATAATAACATTCCTGTATATATGACAAATAAGTATGATTTTAAATAAAAGGAAAACTCATCAAATTTACAGTATTTAGCGTTTGCTAATCTGAAATTCTCATGACAATAAGTTACCTGCACGTTCCTAATTTTTTTTTTACCTAGGAATTTTCACTCAGTCTACTGACTGAATTTTCATCATCACCATACGGATACACAGACGATATTTAATTTTTTATCTTTTTATGAGAGTTGTTGGTAACCTTGTAATTTTTTCAAATATCAAAATGTGGGCACAGACCATATCTGTTTACAACCTGATTAGGCTTCATGTTATTGCAACTTCTTATTGATTATTTTAGTCTTTGCACTTACGTATATGAGTCGATATTTATTTGTGTTTAAAATTGATAAATTAAACAGAATTCTTGCAGCTTTCTATTTCTATTTCATGTTGACCTATGAACGGAGGAATTATAATGGTTTATATATTTTGCAACCATAACCACTAAATTTTAAAAGATAATCATAGCGTAACATAGATTCTTAATATGCCTGTAATTTATTTTAACATGGGAAAAAGGAATACAGGCTTCTTTATCAGAGTGGTTATGTCAATTTCGTCGATAATCTAATACTACTAATTGGTCTTCGTTTTAATAATTCTCACATAGCGTAATGTATGCAATAAGTTCGTTGTATATTGTAAGTATGATCTTAAATTTAGAATAAAAATGCCAGTTATAACAAATAACTAAGTAATTTATGTTAAAATAAAATATGTTACCATATAACTTATTTATTGCGAATATTTCTGCAGGAAGAGCTAACACGATTGAAATTGGCCACTTTGTGGGTATACCAATGAATAAAACAAGCCGTTTCACTACCGGATAGAATGACGAATTCAATCCCCCTGCTAGCGCTCTATTTTTATCAATTGCGAGGGATCCAACACTAGTTCAATATTTCACGTCCGCGCCAGTAGATACATTTCGCGCGAAAAACTTTGACACTAACAATTCTATGTTTGAAACTGTTGTTTATTGTTTCTGATGAGTCTGGTGTGGATACTGGCCACCACTAAACAATATATGGCTCATCGAAAACTTTAGAGTAAAAAGGTAAACATTTACGTATCTTTCAGCTTTAGTTTCTATAAATATTAAGGTTGAGAACTGTTTAAAACTTTTGAAAAAAAGCTAAATGAATAGGTATCTTTATTTTTTTTTAATTTTGTGATGGAACCATTTATATCGTTTCTTAATAAATATATTCTTAGTAAAGAAGCGTGAAAGCAATCAATGACTTCCAGTCTGCCAGCAAAAGTTCATACAATATGTTTTATTGTAACTCTAGTTGTAAACTCCAACTAAAATCTTAAGAGCGAGATTCGGTGTGTATATCTTTATCATAGACGTACTATCAAATATCAATAATGAAGTAAATATAAATAAGAACACACAAACATTCTATGATGTCTATGCTCCGCTAGATAAAGTCATTCACGAAAGTGTCAAAGAGCATAAAAATTGGCGGGAAATTGAGAATATTTAATTGACGTAAACATTTTAATGAAGTCGTTGTCACATCGGACAATTTACGAGAAAACTTTACATAATTAAAGCGTTTATAAAACAATAGGTCTTTATCTAAACGGTATTGTTTGTCTTTTTGTCCCTCGTGTATCACACCCTTGTCACTTGAAGGGGTTATGCACAAACAAACTCGATCGCTTTATGTGAAAAGTCTCGCTTTTGATTAAAGTTGATATCAATGGCAAAAACTTTTTGCATTTAAGTTTTGGTCTAATATCTCAAACGTATTAATTTAACTTTACCGAAATACATACAATCGTTTAATGTTTACAAATTAATATTTTTCATTGTTGTTAGTCATTTCTACAATGTAGTTTAGATTCCGAAAAACAACCTAGACATGTTGTCCTAACCTCTGAACCGACTATTACGCTTCTCCTATCGCCAAATCCCCAAAAGGGCTAGTCGCTCTTCTGGTGTGGATGGCGTCTACCGGCGCCTTACTATCAGACCCGATAGCTCATTTGCTATATCCTCAATCTCCCCTAAGAGCCCATCGGGGCGGTCACACGACAGAAAGTCATAACACGTCAAAATCAATTTTAAATAAGAATAAATGTATTCACAGTTTAAATCCGCAGGGGAAATGATATAAGAGTGACAGGAATCGCTCTCATAAATTGTCGAGTGTCAATTCAATAGATATAGGTCAGTATGCTACTGATGTTGGTTGGATGCCATTATGCGAGAGGCAATAATCTGTTCGGGAGAAAGGGAAATCATAATATCGTAATCCGCTTTTAAGAGGATTATTATAATCAAATATAGGTACCTATTACATTATAATAATGTCGTGGATGTTTATTGATTCGATGGGACGGGGAAGTTTATTTAATAAGCTCAAGTAAGGGGTGTAATAAGACCTCTTTGTTAGTTTGTAAAATAGGAGTAAGAGTGTTAAATGTTACGACCTAGAGCCTGGAGTCATGCAAGTCTTGTTTAAGGGCGAGTGGAGTTTTGTCAGTTCAAATTTAACCGATTTTTTTTAAGTAGGTAGTATCGATATGGCTTCTTGTTTGGCCTTCTCTTTTTTGAGGTTATGAAAAATACCAGTATGTTCCTAATATTAATTTTGCCTTTAGACTTTTAATCGTCTTTTAGATTTTCGGGTAGATTTCCGCCCATGTAAATGTTCCCTCACCATATACCCAAACATGTCATTTTAAATTTTTACAAGCACTAATGTATTGTTTTTTACATGTTGTATCCTGCAAATTGCTTCTCAAAAGTAATTAAGGTTGAGAAAGCTAATATCTGGAATAAGCCAGCTCGACGGAATGGTATGCCGTCACGAAAAACCAGCGTGAAACTACGCTTGACGTGTTTTTCACCGTTAGAATGAGGTTACCAGTGGCTTAGATCTTTTCCAGAGCTTAGATTCAGCCTTAAACAATAAAAAATATAAGCTCTTACCGCAACTTGAAATTAGTTGAGTATGTAACCTCATCGAAAAGTAAAGTGCTGTAAAGATGCAAAACATAATTTACTAGAGTTTTATTACAAGAAAGGATCCTAACATCGTTTTCTAAATGTAAAATCCTTTGAATCCTTGTCCACAATAAAATGCCTGACCTTGTCCAGACTTGTCACTCCGTCATATCAATCACCTTAACGTGTTAAAAGATAAATGAATAAATAAACTAGAAGTGTGCAGTGTGTGTGTTGCCACGTTGCCGCTGACTTCGCCTTGGTGAGCGGAAATGCTCGTTGCCGCAAATTGCATTCGCCATACTTTGTTACTATAATTGCTTGTTGCTGACTTGCTGTGACTTATCTCTTGATGGAAAGCTTATTTATTTTCGGTTTGTTAATGTATAGGAGGCCCAATCTTTGCTCTCCTCCAATCCTTAAATCTCCAAATCCCTAATCCCCAAAAGGTCAGCAACGCACTAGTAAATCCTTTGTAGTTGCGGGTATCCATGGGTGGCGCTGATTACTTACCACCAGGTAAACCATCGGCTCGTTCGCCATCACAAAACACACACAATAAGACATCAAAAACTGACTACATAGTTGATGCAGTGGCTGGGTCACTGACGCTAAGTAGCGATTCCCGTATTCAGCAATTCTTTGTGTGATCCACAAATTATTGTTCCGGGTCCAGAATGTAATATGCATGTGAAATTGTATGTTTGTAACGCACTTGATGGTAAGCAATCGGTGCCGCCTGTAAACACCCGCAACACCAAAGGAGTTACGTATGCGTTGTGCGCCTTTTGGAGATAAGGGTTTTGGATATTTAACGATTGAATAGGGTTGGGAGGAGGCGTAGAGATTGGGCCTCGGTATCGGGAAATACAACACTATCGTTGTTCCACGCTGGTTTTCGGTGAGGCCGTGGTATGACTCCGGTTGAGCCGACGTATTCGTGCAGAAACATGACTCTCCTACACTTATGATTGATGATTGATACTGAAATACGTAATTACAGTTGATACTAATTGTAGCAGTGAATAAATCTATGTTGGTACTCTTTGATCCTAACCATCTTCTTACGAGAGGTTCTATTTAAATCCGGGGTTAATCTGGGATTGGAATTTGTCTAAAGGTTGATTAGATCCTGTTTTGTTAATGGAAACAGTTTCTATTTATTTAAGCTTGCCTGCTTAGATATTTTTCGTTATTACATATTTATATTAATGTAATTTGAATGAAACTTTCTTTAATTAATTAACGAATCAAGCTGCCATAATGTACGTGATGTGTGTAACATATTATTGCAGTTTCAAAGTTAACTAAGCTTAAGTT